CATTTTTTTCTAACCCTGAAGACAAATTTTCTTAATGGTGTGTGTGTGTGTGTGTGTGTGTGAGAGAGAGAGAGAGAGAGAGAGAGAGAGAGTGTTTTATTATTGCAAGTTTGTGAAGAAACAATATACTTTGGTTGTGGGTGGACCCTGCTCCATAAAATGCAGTTGATTTCTCATCTTCTTTACTGATATATAGAAATATATTAGCAAGGTTGTTTATATGTTATACTTTAAAAAAATGTTCTACATGAGAGTAATCCAAATTCTAAATTAATTAAACTTCTATTTTCTAAAAAAAATAGTACTATTATTCTGCTAAGTGATAAGGAGGAATAAAGGCCAGTGAAGGCATGCTGTTGTTGCTGTTTAGTCATATCCGACTCTTTGTGACCCCATGGACCAGAGCACGCCAGGCACTTCTGTCTTCCACTGCCTCCCGCAGTTTGGTCAAACTCATGCTGGTAGCTTCGAGAACACTGTCCAACCATCTCGTCCTCTGTCGTCCCCTTCTCCTTGTGCCCTCCATCTTTCCCAACATCAGGGTCTTTTCCAGGGAGTCTTCTCTTCTCATGAAGTGGCCAAAATATTGGAGCCTCAGCCTCAGCTTCACAATCTGGTGAAGGCATGCAACCTCCCTCAAATCTCTACCATGGAAGATCCTGGTCAGTTCAGCCACCATACAGTCACTGCCTACATGCTTTCAACTTCAGACCCTAACTTGGATCTCCACATGTCTATTGGTGCTACTGAACAATGAATTGGGGAACAGTGAATTGATGCTTCTGAACAATGGGGTACCATCCAAACCCATGAATGTAAATTAAAATTTTGATGGTAACCACAACTGGATGTGAATTGCATCCTTTGTAAAAAAGGAGGAAATTCTGCTATATAATCTGTCTCTTTCCAGTCTCTCATTTCTTACAGCAGGGGGTGGGGAATAGGATCTGGCTGGCAGGTTGGATCCTGTCCTTGTCTACCTCCTCAGGCCATTTTGACAGGTGGACAGTGTTGCCATCTGTCAGTCACAATGATGTCAGATGACCCGCAGGTAAAAAACTTCTCTTGCAGGCAAAGCTCTGCACATGAAGGTGATTTGAATTCAAGCTGGGGATGCAAAGGAAACAATAATTAACAAGTATACTTCCTTAAGCACCATACAAATTAATGCCTTTGCATTTATGAAGAATATCACAGATAAAGAGAGAGAGAGAAAGAGAGAGAGCTCATGTAATTTGTGTATTACAGTAGGAATACAGGAGAAAGAACTCCATGATTATGCCAGACTGTGTAATCAAGGACTGGTTTCTGCCATTTCCAGAAAGATCTCTTATGAATCCTTCATAAGCTCCTTCTAACTCCCAGCCGCCAAGCAGGTTTAGCTTTAGACAAGCTACATTTAAGAAATACTGTATTTTCTTTTAGGGTTAAGTTATTTGACCATGGTAGCTGTAGCTGTGAACTAAATAATTTTATACTGGCTGATTTCACAACCCTAAATTGTTCATTTCTTTCTTTATTTCATTTAGGGAGTTTAAGTAACAATAACTTGAGCCATATATTCAGTTTTCATAAAGAATTCAGTGAAATAGCATTATAGGTATAAGGTGGCTAAGCTAATGCATTTTTCTATCTGACATAATTCACCATTTGGGGAATATAAGTTGTGGTGTTTTTTATTATTTGGTTGCATTCCACATAAACTGATTACTACAGGACCTTGTAAGGCTATATTTGCTGACAGACCCTTATTGTTAGGATTTGTTTAAGTAAAAAGGACCTAAAATATTGTAAGAACAATTGAGAAGCAGATGATGCTTCAAACACAACTCTCAAATCAGAAAACTTCATAGTCATATGGTACTTAGATAGCTGAGTCACATGGTGTTCCTACTAAGTTCTGTTAAATCAAGTCTGATTTTAGTCCTATAAAATCAGGGGGATCAAACCATTTCTATTTTGCTGGATTGAATTTGTGCCTACTCAGTAAAGATGAGCTTTCCATATTATCAGCATTCATTTTAAGAACTTTATTTACCTTTGTGTTTGAGTGTCTGTAATGGCCTAAGTCTTTCCCCCACAGAATACTGAGATAAAAGTTTAAGGAAGCCACCTTTGAACTGTTAACCTTATGTGATATTGGGAAAGGTCTGCTGGATTAAATGGTATGCTCATGGAGGAAATTTTAAGTGTAGATGATATACATTTAATACATAGTACACTTATGTAAGAATACATTGTTCAGCACCCACCCACACACCATGGCTGGGCATATATATACATTTTAAATTTTATTTAATAAATAAATGGCAGGACTCTGCTTCTATGTTTGTTACAAGGTAACTAGCCATTGAAGCCATTGTGAGCCATCCATACTTAAATGGGCGGTTTTGCCTTTTCTGCAGGACAGTTCATGTATAACTTCTTGGAGCTGCAAACTTAACAGAGCTCTGTAAGGTAAAGGTAAAGGGACCCCTGACCATTAGGTCCAGTCGTGGCCGACTCTGGGGTTGCGGCGCTCATCTTGCTTTATTGGCCGAGGGAGCCGGCGTACGGCTTCCGGGTCATGTGGCCAGCATGACTAAGCTGCTTCTGGCGAACCAGAGCAGCGCACAGAAATGCCGTTTACCTTCCCGCTGGAGCGGTACCTATTTATCTACTTGCACTTTGACGTGCTTTCGAACTGCTAGGTTGGCAGGAGCACGGACCGAGCAATGGGAGCTCACCCTGTTGCAGGGATTCGACTGCCGACCTTCTGATCGGCAAGCCCTAGGCTCTGTGGTTTAACCCACAGCGCCACCTGTGTCCCAGAGAGAGCTCTGTACTTTGTATCAAATTAGTATACACATTTAGGATCACACTTCTAACCTTAGAGTTCTTTGCAATACTGTAACATTCTTGTGTTATACTTCAAAGAAAATTGTGTGTTTGTGTGTGTTGTTTGAACAAATTCATCACTTTTCATGAGTAAGTCATATGTTGCGCATCTGACAAAATATACTTCAAATTATAGGGAAGCTGTGTACATACACCATACATTTAAAGCACATTCTCCCTTCTTGCCACCTTCCAAAAAATTATCCTAGGAACTGTAAAGAGTCCCTCACAGAGCACCCTTGACAAACACCAGGATTCTTGGGAGGAGGGCTTTAAATGTATGGTGCATGCATAGTCTGAGTTACTTTTTTTTCTGAAGCGACTTGTGCATAGTTTTTGTTTGTTTGGCAACTGCATCTTCATGGTTATTACAGTCATGATTCTTGTGTCTTTTTTCTTCCATAATATTTGAAGTGTAAATAATATATATGCATTGAATCAGTCCTGCTTTTAATTTAGTGTTTTGTTGGAGTGCTAGGAATTGTTTTTTACTTTTTGTAACTATAATCTACTTTTTCTTTAATTTAGTTATTTGCAATTTATTGATGTATGTCTTGACATTGCAGGAGTAATAGTATGATGGGCCTTCTTCAAATTTACTGAAATGAGAGATTACAGAACTCAAACATCCTGAAGTTCATATTTGGTAGCATTCTTCCATGTTATCCATTGAAGTTATTTATTTTCCTTGTAGCTAGTTAAAGAAACATCACATTGATTATTTGCTTATAGACAAAATATTCCACACTAACAAAAAATAATCTTGGATTGGTTTGTGTGTTTGTCTTTGACAGATCTGGTATAATTGTTATCTGATAAAATCCCCAAAGAAACCTTTTTCATATACCTTTATTATATTTCTTCTGGCATACATTTCCCAAAGGATGCAATGAGAAATGGATTCCCTTCTCTGCATACCATCAAGTTCACAGTCTGTTATATAGAAAGCAGTGTTAGCTTCCTTACCTGATGAATACACAGGGCGTGTTTTGAAAAAGACAGGGATGCTTTCTTAGGGAAGTGCACTAGGAGAGGTTGATCTGCTATTCACAGACCCACATGGCTGGGCAAACAGCAAATATAGCCTAATAGTTGTTCAGGAGGAAGGCTGCAGGTATTCTATTGTCAACAGCCAGGAGAAAACGTGTTACATTGGACACGCCTGAACAGTTTATGAAGGAAGATTCACACTTGCTCAGTTGCAATGCCTGCAAGAGGCATGGTTCAAGTATCCTGAGGCAGCGCAAAATTATAGCATACTTTGAATACACAACCTTTATGTGCTTTCATCAAGTGCTGTATCGTCTGGCTTTGGCCTAGGTCCAACTAAGGGATAGGTATTTTTAAAGCACCGTTTTGAGGTCCCAACTCTTTCCTTGCTTCAGGCTAGGACTACAGCCTGCAGGGTACCCTGAAGGGATCTGGTTTGAAAAGTGTCTTGCCTCATCTACCACTCTGGGTCCTCAGAAGACAAGGCAACCTAAACTTTAAAGCTTAGCGTGTAGTCTTGCCATTTGAGGCACCTTAGACATATATTTATTTCCTTAGCTCAAAGTGTAAGTAATGTGATAGTGATCTGACACAGTTCTGCCTACACACACACACACACACACACACGTTCTGACACCAAAGAAGGCTCTAATGAAGATAGTTGACAGCTTAAAAAGCATGCACTCATATTTTGGGTACAAGCAAGATTGCTAAAATTTTAGTCATAAAATATTTAGCAACCAGTAAAGCATTTCTGTGCCATTGCTTTTCAAATCAAATCTGTACTGATTTTCCCCTAATTTGTATGCTATTTTTAAACTGTTTGCTTCACTCATAATTCTGCCTTTCAAGTGAAATTGTGAGGCAGAAAAGCAGCTAAAGTAGTTCCCCATTTTTAAGTATATAAGAAGTATTTTGCTAGATCAGACCAAAGCCCAGAATTTTTTCTCGAGTGTCAGGTTCCCTTGGTCCTGCATTCCATCTCCATCTCACCCCAAGAAAATGGCAAGGCATGTCAAGCAAGGCATGACAGGGATAGCTAAGCTTCTATTAGATTATACAGCAACTGTATAATCATAGAAATGTAGAGTTGGAAGGGACCATGAGTGTCATCTAGTCCAACCCCTCCAGTGCGGGAATCTTTTTCCCAACATGGGGCCTGAACCCACAACCCTGAGATTAAGAGCCTCATGCTCTACCGACTGAGCTATATCCCCTGTGTAAATAAATTCTGCTTTGTTCGTTGTTTTGTTTTTCCTTTACCTAAACTTAATTTTATTGGACAAGTCCAGATTTTAGTATTTTGAAACAAAAAGTATTGTCTCTATTCTGTTCATGTTATTCAAAATTGTGTAACCATCTGTCTCATATCCCTTAGTAGCCTTTTTTTCTGAACCAAAAATGACTGAAGTTTCTGAATGAGCCTTAAAGGTGTTCTATCACCAACACCCAATGAATTCAGATGATATTTTCCTCCAAGCTTTTGTACCGAAGACTGATAAAAGTAATTTATTTAGCTCCCTCCCCCCAAAAAATTTCTCTGACTTCATTTAGCCATTCTTATTTACCTTTTTGTCTAATGGTCTCACAATTTATGCTTCTACATAGAAATTTATTCTTCAAATTGCACCTTTGCTTGGCTTATTTCAAATTTGTATTTGGTTTACCAGACCTTGTGCTTTTCCTTGTTTTCTTCATTTGGGTAAAGATAGGCTGAAATCCATAGTGTGTAACACAAAAGTTTTTATAAACTAGCCCATCATGCTACCTGAGCAAGACTATGCTGTGCGCTAAAAATGGAAGCCCTAGAACAAAATTTCAAAACAACCCTATACAGTTTCTGCACAAACAGGGAGTTAGATTGGAGGACCTTTGAGGTACCTTTCAAATGTATGATTTTGTGTAGCCAATTTGGTTCAGATGTGAAGCTGAAATGCATATTAAACTTTTAACAACTTAAAACATTCAGCTGTAGGTGATACAGGAAAAGATATTACAGGTAAATATATATTTTCGCACTAGTTCTGGTTTTCAGCATTTTTTCTTGTGTTGATTTAATAAAGATTAGCTCTTAATTGGATGATGTTTTGCTATAATATTTTGTTGCTGTCAAGGGTTGGCAGTGGTAAGCAAATTAACACGTATAATGTGCTAAAAATCCTTTGTCTTCTTTCAGTCTACAAGTGACAGCACTGAACCACTTGATGCCTTGTAATTCAGTGGTTTCCTATTGCAGTGTCTCTTTGAAGTTCCTTTGCTCTGGGATGGCCACCCTGAGCTCATTTACAGATTGCTCTGGGTGGCTGAAATGTTTTCCCATTGGCATTTTTAATATTGAAATTTCTAGTGTCAGATTTGCGTTCATTTAATCTTTTGTGTGTATAAACTACTCTTTTTCTGCTGTGTAGAACACAGAGGGATATTGCTAGCAGATGATGGTATACATCACATTGTGGAAGATGAGCAGGTGAATTAACCCCTGATGTTGTGGATGACATTTCTATGTAATTACAGTGTTTTAGGTAAACTGCTTAGAGACTTTTGTTGATTAAGTGATAGATAGATCCTGTTGCCAGAATAGACACAGGAACAGCGTAGACATCTGGGTCTGCCACAAGGACAGGCCTGTTTCCATATTTCTGTTGTATGACCTGTTCTGAATGGTGTGTAGCTGTTTCAGATTGGAAGGCTGTTTGTAGTAAGTACATGCCTACTCCCCAAGACATGTGAGAGGGAAGTGTAATTGTCTAGGGTGGGCAATAGTAAATTATTAAATTGTAAGTCTGTTTCCAAGGACCGTCATATTTTGGTGACAGTGCCATGTGTAAGAAGAGCAGCATGACAGTTAAGCTCCCCATTACAGTAGAAATCAGGATGAAAGAGGCAAATGAAAGACGCTTAAAATGTGTGTACAGATATTTTAAGACAAATGGATGTTACATCTTCTTCACTTAGTTGCACTTTGTCAGTTTAACATTTTAGAAGTCAAACATGTTCATCGCCCATTTGGAGTGGAATTCATTTCCTGTCGTTGTTTATCCATCCACTATTAATCACTTTCTCCCTCTCTTCCCTGGCATAGACTCATTACTTTTCAGTGCTTACTTGCCCATCTTAATTTAGTTGTTTATATTCTCAGACCATCTTGCCCCAAATTGCTGACCGGAGCAAGATGGTGTGAGCTTATTAACTCCAATCTTGATGGAACTCCACCAACTACCGATTAGTGTCCAGGCTCAGTTCAAAGTTTTTAGCCATAAGGCCTTACATGGCTCAAGACCCCAGTACCTCCAGAACAGCTTCTCCTCGTATGACCCAACCCAGACACATCATTCATTATCGGAGACTTTTCTCCATGTGTCCTCTCCAAGGGAGGTGCAGAGTAGGCAACATGAGAACAGGCCTTTGCGGTAGTGGCTCTCCACTTACAGAATGCACTCTCCAGAGCAGCATACCTGGTGCTGTCTGTTTTTATGTGCCAGGCAAAAACATTTAATTTATCTTGGCCTTTGATCCTTAATTTGGAGGGTAACTGGTTATCTCTGTGGACTTTTAAATGAGGTGGGTAAGACTTGTTCCTGTTAGATGCCTATTTTTAGATGTGCAGTTTAGGTCTTATTGTATTCTTGCTTTTATACTTGGTTACATGTTTCCTGTTATTTCTATTTTTATTCTATAAATGGTTTTAAGGCAGTTCAGTGTTAAAAGTGACATAGTAACAGCAACATTTAAGGAAGAGAGGGCATATATTAGCCATCACCAGCTTGTAACCCAATAAGCCAAACACAGGCCAACAGATGTATATGACCCCCAGGAGTTCCGTGTAACCCGCCCAAGGGGTATGTGATACCATTCACATAACAAAAACTACCATAGATATATCAGAATTTTCAGAAGTACGGGTCCATAGCTTGGCTTTTGAAAAACAAAGGTCCACAGTACTTAGCTAATTGGGAACCACTGTTTTAGTGGATTGCTTATTTAGTAACCTACCAAGCTCTGGAAACAAAGTATTACTTATCTGTCATTGTCAGCAAACTGAATAAGGTGGTGAAAATAATATATGGGTTGAATAGTTCGTCAGGCAAGAACAAGGGAAAGAGTAACTTGTCTGGCCTGAAGGTTTACAGAGGACCTGTTGTTCATCATTTGAAAAACAAATTGTAGAACTGTAATAATCAAAAAATTGTAATAATCAAAATTCAATTTGATTTTTATATGATTTTTATATGTTTTTGTTACTATTAGACCAATAAAATAAAGTAGAATGAAATCTAGACTCACTGAGTGGATAGAGGCTTACATGTTGAGCAAACCAGCACATTTACAATTATACATTATGTAATCTTGAATTCTGTTGTAGTTGCTTGATGGACAGCATGAAACAGAAGAATATCTTCCTGAATCCATAGGCCTTAGTAGATGGAGTGGAAATGGGGATCTTCTGTTGTGTTGTTCATTTTAGTTGTTTTTATTTTATTTATTTTATGAGTTAAATTTATATACCATTCTTCATCCATCAATTCATAGAAATCAGATATGGGGGAAATAAGGAGGAAAGTGATAGAATTTTCTGTACAATAAGGGTAGGTTGAATTGAAAAGAATGAGGATGAAGAACAGGTGGGGATGGTTAGAACAGGAGTAATCTGTTAGGACTGTTACACAACAGAGTAGGGATTCTTTGAGAAAGGGGTTTGCTTCTCATGTTGTGCAGATGTTGAGCAATAAAAAAAAATGAGGCTATAATAGCCAGCTGTCAAAATCTGCTGCATTCATTTCAGAAAAAGAAGCTTTGGAATTTCTCAGTTTTAGTTAGTTTGGCTGCGTGACCCTTTTACTGTCAAATTGGCTAAAGACTGCTTAATTCTTTAAAAAAAGTGATTCAGAAGTCTAATTGTTTCCACAATCTTTTTTATTGTTACCCTTGCTTCCCAAACAAGCATAAAAATGGGCTTGATTCTGCTTCTTGCTCAACCTGATTAGACCACAAGACTCATAGGGAAAGGCAAGAAATGCCTCCCTGGTACCAATCTAAAAGCTCCTCTCAGGTTTGATTGGGTGAGGGAACCTGTATTTCCCCTATCCAGTTGAGTTGGTGGTAAGTGTGTGAAATATTCCTGCGTCCTGTAACTACTATTAGCAGGAGGGCAGGAATATTGCTTCTTGATAATAGTGGTAGCTGGGTGATCCAGTTTTGGGCTAATGAGCAGATTTTGCTCACTTCACATTGTTGCCCTCAACAGTAGCTCTTTAATTTCTCCATAGTAATAAGTAGCAACCATTCACTTATGTGTAAAATATAAAATAAATTTTTGCACCATTGGTTGGGAACTAAATCTGTCCATTGAGCTCCTAGGATCTGAAATTAAAAGCATGGTTTGTCACCTCTTGTGTCCAAGATTCCAGATCAATTACTGAGCATGTTCACAGAGTTCTGTATGTGCTATCACCCCCAGCACACATATATTCACTGCTATAAGGATACTACACCTGGGAGGCTAATATAACATTATCTTTAATCATGTATTGCTGGGATATTTAAACATTGTGATGGAACATGGGTCTTCAGCTTTTAAAAACTTCAGTTTAGAGATTCTTAAAAGTATTTCCAGAGAAGTAGATGTGTTAGTCTGTGGCAGCCAAAACTGTATTGTGGCACCTTAAAGACGAGAGCATGTTTTTAATGGCACAAACTTTCATGGATTAGAGCCTGCTTCATCGGATAAGTGAAGTGTTGTTCTAAGTGGCACACAACTGTTGGTGGCCATTTATTATTAAATTTATATGTCGAGGATGGCAAACAGCAAGTGATAAAACAATAACATCTTAAAACATCTTTTAAACAGTTCTAATACAGATGAGGACTGGGCGATGGGTGGGTGTAAGAGAGATTGTCAAAAATGAGATCGGAGGGAAAGGATCTTCAAAAAGTTTAGCTCCTTCATGTGGGGATTTAATCAGAATATTGGGTTTTATCACACTACAGGATGTTTGTTTGCTATCACCTACACTTCATGAATCGGCACCCCTCCCTCCCTCCCTCCCTCTCTCTCATGTGTGTGTGTGTACACACCTTACAATATCAGAAGCTGCCATATATCTGGAGAACTGTACTCTAGTAAATAAACGCTTAAGTCATAATAGGTTTGGCATAAGCTATAAGGCACCTTGTGGTTAAAATAATTTGAGGATGTTATTCTGGGGTACAATCCAGT